AACCTTTTCAAACACTAACCTATTTATTAAGTATGTATTCTTCATGAGAACATCATTCAATTATTATTCAATTAATATTTTGAATATTAATACAGCGTTAAATTTCTTTCATTGAGGTAAATTATTGGGATTGCACCAATTACATTATCGTTTGTTCAATTGTTCTCTAACAAAGTCTAATAAATTTTTTATTACGTATAACAATAACATTTAATTCTTTAGATTAATTAAGTTTTACTTGACTATTGTTAACCAATTATTATTTATTTTATTGCGTTTAATCATTCAGCGTTGATAATAACAAATAGTTACCGATTTTGTATTTCATTTACAAATTCACAAATTTTGTTGTAGTACAAATACCGTTTTATATATGTTCGGCCATTATCCAATCAAATTCCAGATTTTGCACACTTGCCAAGTATTAACATACAAAAAATAATTTTCAATTTATTCATTGGAGATATTTTTACCCTTTTCAAAAACTGTACACAGAATTTTCTGCTGGCGATATCATATCATTTGCAGAGAAGTTTGTTATTAAAAATTCTGAAAAATATGCAATTGTAAGCCACGTTAGTTTAATTGCTTCTGGCAATATAAATCAAGAGTTTATAGCAGAAGAAATCTCCATCAGTATTCTTCATTGTATTTTTCCTGTTATTGTAAAGCAAGAAACAAATGTGATCAGAAATAATACAACCTATTTTAATGCAGATTGCTATCATTATAATTCACATACTGGTAGTCGAAATGTTCTCATGAAATTAAGAATCTTATTTCCATTCCAATCTCAAAGATTCATTTATTTTCATACTGGTATCAAAGTAGGCTGTTCGTTGTTAATTTCAGGTTTTTTCAATGTATAAGGAATGAAATTATTTACATTGAGGCAACGGACATCAATTATATTACCATATTTAACACCATTGGCAATACTCAAGAATCTTCATCATTAGTTTCGAATTCGAGCTCTGAGATAGACCAAATCGTTGATGAAATCAAATCGACTAATACTCAAACTACGAAAAAATCTTAATTTGTTAACTAAAAATAATAATCAAGTAACTAATCTTGACCCTCTTTCTAATTCGAATTCAAGTTTGAAATCAAACGATAACGAAAAGATTGATCAAAATGAGAGTCAGAATTCCGTTAACAAAGATGATAGAGACTTAAATTCTGATATTAAAATTAATAAAAAGTTGGAGGAACAAAATATCAAACAAAATAAAAAAAGAAAATTGAATTAATTACATTCACCAATTCAATTTAACTTTATAGAAAAAATATATATATAAAATTGATTAGTCTTTTTATTTTTTTATTATTATTTTATTTGTTTTAAAATAAAAGAAGTATTATATCAGAAAATTTTTTATATAGATACATATTGATATATAGCAAAAAATCGATATATATTAATAAGAAAAAAAACGGCATATATCAATAATTTA